CCCTTGACTCCCTTGATTGGGGCCAAGAGTGGAGAAACCTTCCAGTTGGTCCTGTCACTGCCACTGGAGGGCCAAGGGATGGTTTGGAGGCTGGAGTAGAGGCCCTACACACTGCGGCACGCCAGGCGATGGAACATCAACAGGTGAATGGCTCTCGCTGTCTCCCATCCCCAGCACAAGTACTCACACCCCTAAAGCACTCGAAAGGTCTGATACCACAACGAGATCAAGTTCTTGTACGAGGGGCATCTGCGCGCCTCCATAGAATATTGGATGCAAAAACGTTCAAGGAAATTCTCAATGCACTGGTGTTGACAGACTTCACTGTCACCCAGCTTTTTGAAGCAGCTCAAGTACTTACTGTTCTGAGGGCCCATCACTCGGAACTTCTTCGTGAAAACAAGGCAAATGTTATACTGGACTTCACAATGTAAGTAGACTCGACGCTGTGATCACGCAATTTCATGAGAGGTCATCAGTATAGCGTACCAACGATTTCTAGTTCCACCCCACGACGCACGTTCGCATCATGTCTCATTCTTGTGCGCTTTCCCCATGGTTGTCTATGCGAGCGACGTGCCTTGGGAGGCAAGTCCAAAAGCACAATTACTTGCGGTCATGGCGAAGATCAAGGAGTAATACTCGATCCGGCTGTCCAACAAGCATCTTCCTCACATTGGATCCGGTCAATATTTCCAAGACAATCCAAATGCACTTGCAATCACCAACCTCAAAAAGGTCGAGGATAGCCTCCCTCTCAATTGGTCCATAGGAGCTCAGAACCCAATGGTGCAAATTTCGGACATGAGGATCGGGCATAGATTGACAGATTTTTATCGTCCGTGCGTTGACCCATTCATTTTATAAGCGTATCCCGTTCATCGTGCCCTGCAGAATGACGCACATATGGACCTTGCGCTCTGAATTGCACCTCCATCTTGATGTGAGTCAATTCGCGGAATTGGCATGCAACTGACCGGACGATTGGTAGTTCTGCGACGTGTACGATAAATCATACATGGAAGAACTTTTGGATAGCACGACTGCCATTGCCCTCTGGATCATTGACTGGGACGCATAGTCAAGTGTCGGCGGTGAGATTAGCTCTCATAGTCAACCAAGGCACGAAAGCATTTTGAGTTTGTGGATGTAGGTAGACTGAGAGTGGTTAATAAGCCAACCAACTACTTTGTAAATCGTGTATATGTTGTACAAACCTGCGACAGGGTCTTACTACCTGCTGTATTCAAATACAACAACAACAGCCTCAAGCGAGTGTGGAGGAGCTTTGTTGGAAGACGCCTATCCTTTCAATTCCGTGCTGCAGCTGGCGCCAAGAAGACTTTCTTTCCCAATCAGCGAACTTACAAGTCCATTATAGGTGACTTACTGGATGACTTGCCGTGGGCTTGAAAAATGTAAAATAGAATATCATAGATCGCATTAGGAAAGCAGCTGCAATGCCGGGCTTCATTTGCACTCGATTTGCAATTCGACATTGTTTTCCCCCCTCTTATAAACCTTAATCTGAAAGGGGGGGTACCCCCCCCCCCCCCCCCCTTGCAGATTTTGCAGAATTTAATAAACACAGTTCTTACCATTCTAGGCTGCTAACGCCTGCAATATCGGCTGACATAATGACACCTTAGGACCAAGCGCTGAATCGATTCACAACACTGGGTCAAACTCAATCCTACATCGTGAGTCATTCACAGTGATTCACTTACCCTTGCATGCTGCTGCGCAGGTGCTCTGCTGTACCCATGGTGAGCAACGGCACACCTTGTCCTTGTAAGTATTTCGGTTCCCCATTGTACCTGCTTTGTTTACGGACCTCCATACCAACTGCAATGACCTAGATTGGCCTTTCAACTTGGCGACTGCGACCATGCCTGAGGTGCCTCAAATGTGCTGCAACATGTCACCATCAACTTCCATTCCTCAAGCTCATTCAAGACATTTTTCATGTCCAATGCTTCAATGTGTTAGTCCGCGCTCACAACATGCTGTTACTGGTCTAGGGTAGTTATATTTTCACTCGTCTCCCGTGTTAATCTGCGCTCACAACAGGCTGTTACCAGTCTAGCGTGGTTTTATTTTCACTGAATTTTCCTGACTCGACGAGTCCGTGCTTGCAAGTGAGTGTTATTGAGCCAGGGTGGCGATTTTTTCACTCCGGACCTTAAATTTTTTTTTGATGTGCAGATGCAATCCTCACGTATAAAGTGATGCTTGAGATCATCTGAAGGTTAGTATTCCTTTGTAACTCTGCTTTCAATGTCTGACATTCCGCCCAAATGAACCCAATTTGTTGCCGACAGTCCTTGCCACCCTGAGTTGCGCTACAATGATGCCGGTAATGCATTTGCGCGTGATGCAAAGGGTGCGTGGCAGCCGCATCCAGGTATCGCACAAGTACGTCACTCCTGGCTTCGTTTTCCTTTGTCGATATTAACTGCGGCATTCTTCTACTAGGTTGTACCCCTGCCTTCTCAGTCGTTTGGCACTGGGTGTACTACTAGCCAGTGTCCTCTCCCGCCATGGTCGACTGAACCGATCTCACATCATTTCATGGTATGTTTTGTGTCTCTATTGATGGCTTTGACTTATCATGGACCCGACAGCCACATGTTGCCACTCTGTCGAGCTACCGTCTCACCGCTGCTGCCGACTTTTCTAGTTCGCAGGAGGTCAACACTGTTGTTGATCCAGCGCTTCTGCCACTACCTCAGAGTAGTGACAAGGACCTCAGTGACCCTGTAGCCATTGCTGAGGCTTGTGGCTACACTCCTACTGTGAAAACTGCAGGGTCACGCTGCAAGGTGAACCCAAGCAAAGGCAAGGGTCGAGGCAAGGAGAACTCAGCTTACAGTACCACCAAAAAGCGTGCCCGTGAGATACTTGAGGATGATGATGAGGCCAGAGTTAAACGAGGACACCCTCATGGATCAAACAACTACAGTAGTGCTGATATGAAGACTCTTCTCAACGTGGTTGAAGAGGAGCTGCCACTTGGTCAGCGAGGCTGGCAGGCCATACATGCGAAGTTCGCGCAGTGGGCTAAGCGAGCTGGCCGCCCTGATCGTAAGGTTACCTCCCTCGAAACAAAGTTCAAACAGGTAAGGTCTGATTGATTCATGAATGTGTCAACTAACATGCGTGCTTTAGCTGGTGAAGACCACGAAGCCAACAGGAGATGGTGTTTGCCCCCCTGAAGTCAGCCGCGCACATGAAATCGACCACCTCATTAATGAGTGTGCAGGTACCCATGATGTCAATGACATGGACTTAGAGGATGATGACAATGGTCTTTCATTGGTGTCGGCTCACGAATCTCCTCACCCTGTGCAGCACACTGCAGTGGCACGCTCTGTCCCAACAGAGGCCCCAGTACCATGCCGCCGTGGGCCTGCCAATGAGTTACTGAATCGCATCTCAGGTGCCTTTGATCCTGATGCCATCAGAGCACGAGATGACGAACGAGCCAATCGCACGCTGGCCAATACCCATTTCTTGACTCAGTCTCAACAGCTTCGTGATGCGCAGGGAACCATCAAAAATTTACACAACCAACTGTTTGAACTGCGGACCCGTCTCAATGACATTGAACGCGCACGTGATAAGGCAGAGTTATGTGTTGAAATGTTGCAGCTCACAGGACCCAGGCGGCACTCTCGTGCCCGCCAGCTCATCTCTCGCCTGCCAAAAGCCAAATGATTGTCACATGAATGGCACCCCGATGGCGGGCAGTACACCCAGTGGCTCACAGATGAAGACACTGAGGTTGAAGTCATTGCAGGTCCGTCCCATGCAACCCGCAGTTGGTCTACTGCTCGCCGCTATGCCAACCGTCAATGTGACATTCCTAAAGCAGACTCGGAGAGCCATGATGGCAATGGTGAAGGATCAAACAGCTCCGGTCGTTACGAAGCCTCTGTGGAGATTTGAGGAGGATCACAATGACTGGGGCCAGGAGCACTAGGATCTTTTATTTGGTTTATCATTTGTACTACATGTTGCTGTATTTACTTGTAATCAAGGACAACATGAAACCGTGCGACTCTGTCCACTTGCCTTTGCTCTGAGAACAACATATTTTCAAAATCCCTCCACACTCGAATATCATCCTCGGTCTCCTGCCAGTGTTTCATGTAAACAGTCCGTATCTGATTGATTCCAACTTTGATGGCACGAAGGTTATGCAGATGGACACAAATTTCAATGAGGTCACCTCGTGCATCATTGTCTGTAACTCCAAGAGGCATGCAAAGCCTGCCGAATGCTCCCTGAATCCCCCACATCCCCCACTCTGCTGTCTGGCGGTATGACAGTAACTCCCGATTGTATGCCATTTTCCCTTGGATTTCTTCAACAGTACCTGCCACTCGCTGACCTTGTTTCAATGGTGCACGGATCCGCCCATCAATGGCATTGGTACCACGAGGAAAGGCAGTGTCGGCAACAACATAATACCCATCAGGTGTAGATTCATGCAGCGCATCATAGATAGGGCGTGCAACACGAGAATCATGCCAACTTCCCGGGGCATTGGTGCGTGCAGCAATGACTACACCTGCAAAGAAAAAAGAACGAAGTTAGCTAGAAATTGCAATATCAAATGAAACCAACCTTCAGCCGAGAATGCGAGGACAGAACTAATGAAGTGTTCCGAAAGCCAGCCATTAAAGGTGGCATTCTCAATGTCAACATCATCTGATGTTTGCACTGGTAGCTTGAGGCCATCAATACTCCCAAAGGCCCCTGCAAGCCGAGGATGGCGAGCAACCACAAGAGCGCTGCAGCATTCAAATTCCGCCCCACGGAGCCATTTAATTTTTGCCTCAGGGATGTCCTTGAGCGTGGTCAAAAGAATCTGGAGGCCAAAGGTGATGTAGCAGGTGACAGTGGCAGGAATGATAGCGAAGATCTGCTGGAGACTAGTCTCACACATAGTAGAGTTGAGATAATGCAGAACGAGGCCAAGTGCCCCTGCAGCATCAAGAGATCTTCTTCCAGGACGTGCATCACCATTGGCATTGATATCTGCGTGGGAGATTGGAGTAGTGTACCACTTTTGTGCGAAACCTGCAGTGAGCAAGTATCCGAATGTTGCAACATCAAAACCAGTTGTTGTAATGAATGCGCAATCATTTTGACTGTTGTAAAGGGCTTGCCATGGTGTATCCAATCATGGATTTGGCAACAACTCAGAGCGACGAAGATAAAGACGACTCGGCTGTCGACTTTCAATGCAGTCCTGCCTTGCCATCTCTGCACCAGCAATGACTACTGATACAAGCATCTGTAAGTCTTCTTCCTCCTCAAGCTCTATCACTTCCTCATTGTTCATCAGCATAAACTGTAGAGTTTGAGCATCCATAGCAAGTCACAGCACGTAAAGTAGCTGATTTATTGTGTGTTAATCCACTGAAGCGACTACAGTTTAGAAAGTTGCATAGATTATCGGATTATCGGTGATTGCCAATTGTTTTCAAACACCGGTCTATCCTACTCTGCATTATTTTGCCCACAGCAAGTCATCCACTACCTGATGCATCATGATGAAGCGTTCAGCCACGTTAGATCCTCCATGATCTCCATAGCAGTCTAATTGAGCAGTTTGGTCCTATGCTCCACCTGAGAAGGTGGAGAAGGATGGATATCATTAACAATAGTAATAGCGACCATCATATTGCCAGGACTCGTCGGATCAAGCACAAGGTGGCATTTTGCAGCCCCATTAGCACATTGCACAATTGTGTGTAACACCTCGAATTTGGTGTTCCAAATATCCAGCTCCCCATCCTCGTACGCATGCAGTAAACCACATTCACGTGATTCACTGAATTTCCCTCACCGCAGCCCACTTATCGACGGCTTGCCTGGCTGCCAGCTGGTCACCATAGCGATGAGGAAGGAGATTAGAAATTTGGAATGTTGCATCATTAGTGTTGACTAATGGATTCTTATAATGGACAAAAAGTTCTGCCTTGCGATTCTGGCACGGCAGAACTCTAGTATTATCTACTAGTGCTACCTAGTGGTTCTGCCCACAACACTACTTTTACCCCGGGGTATTTTCACGTTGCTGAAGCTTGCATCATTCAATAATCTCAATGATGCGTTTAAACAGACCTGGCTTGGCTCCATGGTCGACTTGGGATACTAGTAATCTCCCTAATCTCATTTGTACCGACCGCTTGAAAGGTCTTCGCTTTACAAAATAAATGTCTTTTTTTTTTTTCAATAAAACCGAGATAATGTGACTATCATCGAAGAAACACCACCTTCTCCTTTGCACCCGAAGCAATCCACGGAGACTCATGAATAACACCCAACCAAACGTGCTCCATCAAACCCTCACTCTCACTCACTGCCATCACATATACATGCATCCAGAGTAGAACCTTCCAAGACATTCTTCGTCATACACGCCAGGGCCTGCAGTAGTACGGGAAAGGACAATGAACTCAAGGGAAGCCGGCGGGGCAGGATCTAATGACAGTATGACACTGCCAACCCAGGTCGAAGTGTTGGAGAGGATATTGAAAAGATCGTGGTAGAAACGTTCACTTGACTTTACGTCTTCTCCACCGTGTCCCCGTACGATACTAAAGCGACTGGAAGTAGTGTGGAATATGAGGGTGCCTGGCTCCAGCCATCGATGATGATCCAGCCTCAGCTGTGATGCTTCCAAGATCCCTTTCGGAGAAGAATATGGGTTCATCGATGCCTGTGGCCTGGGACGCACAAATGCCCGGTGAATGTGGCGAACATCAAGCTGCACTGTATCACCATTATGCTCCACGATGTACCAAGGGTCGATAACCGTCTCCGTCACTCTCGGTCGGTCAGAATGACTGTCGAAGTGGGCATACAGAGCTTCCCCCGGGTAGTGAACAGCGCCACACCATCCAGCCCACGCCCAAGAAGGCCAGGGTGAACTGCCTTCACCAGTAATCGAACGACGAACATGAGGTGTGCGTGGATCATGTTGCCAGACAAGGACGTACTCGAGGTCTGTCAACATCATTACAAAGTTAAAAGCTCTGGCGGGGTCGCCCCCACCAAGCTCAAAACTTTTTGTCAAGGCATTTGTTATTGCAGTGATAGCATTGACAATGTCTGACTCCACGGTAAGGTTACGCCGTGTATACAGCCCGATGGCAGACATATAACTCGCGATGTACTGATCAAAGAGCACCTGCATGGGTTTCTGAAGGTAGGTGAAGTTTCCTGCACCTTTATACCGTAAAGGTTGGGTGGATGACACGAGGCACCTGCTTTCAGCGACGACATCTTTGCAGAAGATATCTCGTCTGCATTCAAAATAGACTTGCTGCCCAGTGAAGTATATTCTTCGGCGGGAGAGCATGAGCTCTTGATAGGTCCAGCCACGCATGTTCCACACGGATAGAGTGAGCGCCTTGATAGGTCCTGGTAAAGGCACGGCGAGATGAAGTCCTTGAATGACCGTGATGTGCTGCTGTGGCGATCTAGTTCGTGGATGAAATCCTGGGAGAGGATCTCGAGCGGACGTACCCCCAGCAGCATATATCGTGAAATATGACCCGCCATAGATCAAATCCATAGCGTGTTTCTGATGGATCTTGTCCTCTAGATCATCTTGAATGATGCATAGAGTGTCAATCCACATGTAACATTCGCCAAGTTGTCGAACGAGTTGAATGGAATCTGTGATGGTTTCAGGGAAGTGTGCTATGTTCAACCCGCCAGGTATGAAGCGCTCTGCTATATTATCCTTCATCGTCCAATGCTCCGCGCCAATGCCTCCCCACAGGTAGCTGAGGGCGACATAACAACACGCAGGAGGAGCAGGAACCACAGCCATCAACACTACATCCACCATTCTCATAAATTCTGGCAAGCTCCTCTCGCTGCCCGCCCAGGGGGATTGATTTGTTCCGTGGAATATCGTCGAGGAGAATCTGGTGGAAATCCAGTTGGGCGCAGATGGAACAGAGTGGTGCGCTGGGAGTGTGGTCTATCTGGTTACCCACTTCGATGAGTCTATGTACTGCATAAAGGATGGAATTGAGCTACTTACCTGAAGGTCAGTTCGTGTTTAATCTTCCTGTAGGAGGGGATCTGATTCGGAGGTCCCATCAGATGCGATATTCATTTTGCGTTTGCACACTAACAGCTAGTGAACCAGAATACCAAGAGCACTCCCTCCAATACTTTTAGCGAGGGCCGAATTATGTGCGTACACCAGACTGAGTCTCAAGACAGCGAGCGGAGGTGGTCAAGAATGAACTTTGAATGTACAGTAGGATCTGCATGGTCATCTGCCAGTGAGCATTGGTAGCGAGAAATTTGGCTATTGAACAAACAATGTGATGACGTTAGTGCCTTTCAGGGTATACGTAGTAACCCTTTTTACATCAGCAAAAGTGCCCAAACCTGACGAGGTCTTGGATGGCCTAACAAGACCATACATGACCTTGCGAATATTGGAGGGCCTGCGATGCCTTGCGAGGAAATAGCCCCGTCTTGGATGGCATTCTGAGTGCGTCTAGGATGGCTTTTCGAGGGTGTGCTAGGTAGGTTGACCTTGCGAGGCTGCTAAGGCTTTCGAAGCTTGCAAAGGTATACTAGGCCTTGCTAGATCACTCAAGACTTGTGTACATTAGAAAGCCTTATGAGATCACACGAGTTGTGTGTACTTTGAAGGGCCTCAAGAGGCAATGCATTAGTGTACAGTATCAAGATACATCGTGTGTATGAAGTCCAAGTCCATATCAGTAAAGTCCAGAGTGTGATCGAGTCGATGGCAGCAGTCAACAAGCAGCGAAATGAAGAATGAAGAATGAAGCTGCGAGAAAGTTTGTAGTCCTAGTAACTGTTCTTGCGTTGACCAGAAGTTCTTTGTGGGGCGTCTAGAGCCATAGTAGCTTTCTTTTTTCCTTTTCGCTTTGAGGGCTGAGCGAGGGGTGGAGGGGTGAAGTTGTTGTCATTGTCAGTCAGATCTGACAGTGGGGATGAGGTGCGTGGAGGTACTGGTGCGGTTGCTGGCTGGGACTCCTAATCATGACATCAACAGAGTAAAAAGAGAATGATCATAGTGACATACCCCAATCATACCCAACTGCTCAGCCACGAGCTCACCTACTGAATCCTCATGCTCATTGCGAGTAGTACGACGAGGTTTCGGCGTTGGTTTCGGCTTTGGACGTGGAGGCTGGTCCTCATCATCATGGTGAACAGAGGCACTTGCAGGATGGTGTTGCTCGCTTGACCGAGGTCTTGGTTCCTCTCCATCAGAATCTGCAGGGCCTGCTCGGATCGAAGCACGAGTTGTATTGTGGTCAGCAGCCTCAGTGGAATATCGAGGCTTGAACTTTGGTGGCAATGGGACGTGGGGATCGGACTGGCGCCGGTCATGAGCATCGGATTCTGAGCGGTGGGTTGGGTTTTGAGCTGGTACCAGTTCGTCTTCTTTGTTGTCCGAAAAAAATATACCATGATGGCGCTGGGGCAAGGACTTCTTAGGTAGTGGGCGCTGTTGTCCACCCTGTCGAGGGTGAGTTGGTAGTGGTGCAACCTCATCGTCGTCGTCATCATAAACTGAAGCATGGTGTCGAGTGTTGGCCTCTTGAGGATGTGGTGAGTTGAGGTCCTCGCTTGCTTGTTGAATTCGTTTGGGTGCACGTGGGATATCCTCTTCAGGGTGGCGCTCTGCAGGGCGGGTGCACTTTCCACTTGTTGAGGGCTCACAAAGCTCATTAGGGTTGCCTGGATGTGACGGTGGTGAGAATTAAACATCAGTAGCAGTATCACATACCATTTGACTGAGCTAATGCAGAACGGCATGCGGCTCACTGAGCATGAATTTGTGCGATGTCGTCATCACTTTCCTTTCGCATGAGCTTGGCAGAGTGTGAGTTCTCCTTGGTTGGTTTGAGGTGCCTGTGAACAATTAGAACTGAGCTAACCACACAGAAAAATGTACCTGTTCCACCACGCGAGGGTGTCTTTGACCCATGGATCGTCGTCTAGCATTTCAATGATGGCCCAGAGGAGCTCATCCAAGTCCATGTCGCCAATACACCGTGTCCAGTGCTGAGCGCTGCTGATCATAAAGTATGTCTATGGGTTCATGAGAGGGGCATTGATACCAATAGCAAAAGAGCTAAACTTATGATAATGTGAACATATGCAATGATGTATTTGTTAACAGCTGTCAGTCCCCATGCACGATTTTTGGATGGCTTCACAGAGTTGCAAACATTTGACGAGTCATTCATGACGGATGATGGTCCAATAAAAAGATGTTTATAAAACTATAGTAACTTCGTTATAAACTTTAAATGATAGCATAAAAGATGAAGACGCACCCTCAGAACAATGTGGTTTCGAAACAGGCCGTGTGTCTTTTCAGCAGCGTCATAAACACCATGTTCATAAAAGAATGTTGGCCAGATGTGTGCCATCATGGTGATTTCGCCAGCTTGCAAGGCAGCCATAGCACTGAAAATAGTGACATCAGTACAAAGAATGAAAAGTAAAACATACATATGAATCAGGGTCCTCGTCAAACCAAACCAACTTCTTCCAAGGGCAAAGTAAATGGGCCAACTGCGGGTGATTGAGCCCACGCATCGACTTATCCTCGATTTCTGGAATTGGTGGGTCAAGAGCATTGGCCTCACTATACATATTCAGCCCAATGTATTGCAGGCCCTTGTGCTTGACGGAGCTCAAATCGGCTGACTTGCCGTCACTCATACCCTTTGATACCTATCATGCAAAAGATCAGTTGTCAGGGTCAGATTTGAGTTGAAACAAGTGCATATATGCGCATATAGTTACCATTGCAATGATCATGTTGAGTTTTTTGCTTGATATGTGGTCGAGCTCGCTCTCGAGACCAGGAATATAGTTGATGATGCCATTGTAAAGTAACAAATGCCGATTGGTGACATCTTCAGGTCTGTAGCAAATTAGCTGTCATGTGAGATATATATAAGGTACATACTGTTTCAGGTCGCGCTTACCCCCTCGGTCAAATTGAAGACTGGTCTTGAAGGCTGCGGAAGGTATGCCAAACGTATCCAGAAGGCTTGAAGTCTTCCTTCCCGCATTTCGGTACAGCTCAGTGTCATCCATTTTTGAATCTTTGTGTTTCCTGCTGCCAAAGGTCAAAATTTTATGGCACAATTCAGATTACAATACCTTGTTGTGTGCTTGTGAGAGCCTGATGATATGGAACTGATGAGGTCGTTGGTGCTGGTGTCACCAGAGGAATTCTTATGCTTGTGTTTGCCAGGCCTTGATGGTTCTGGTGACTCTGACTGCTTATTCTTGCATTTTCCAAGTTTCATGGGCTCTGGAGAGGATCTGATGGAAGAAACACTAGTGCTTCGTATATACATTGCATCCAAGTCGGGGGGATCAGAAGAGCTTGATGACGCACCAGGACGACGACATGAAGACATGATGGTGGTTAGACGTAAGGGTTAGGGCATGGGACCGATATGATTAAGTTCCAAATGTTTGGTTATGTTGACGTGATATTAGGTCACATGATTATATGCGCTATATACACAACAAGAAGTACAAAATTAATTCTACAGTTACAATGTGAGTGCGTGACAACAAAAACAGTATGACTATGAGAGACAACGTCCATGGGAAGTGATATAACAACAATGCACCAAGCAATAACAATAGGATGCGAGAAATGAAGCTTGAAGGTGGGACTCATTCTAACTTTAATGCTTCTACAGCAGCAGGTAGTGTCATGAATGCGTCAATGTGTTTGAGTGGTACTTCAGCAGTCATATTCCTGAAGCCACGACGAGGGGGCCACGTATAACCATTCTCCCGTTCAAACTTCTCCCGTAAGACAACAATCGAAGGAGCGTCCTTAAACCTGCCATGTAGTTGCACAGGTTGCACACTGACACACTGAGGTACATCCCTATAGTTGGGGTCAATGCAATAATCAAGATATACAAGAAAACACGTACTTGGAGGTGGCCTCACAGACCATGGTAACATCTGGATCTTCCTTGATGACTGGTGGTGCATTGACTTTCCATGTTCCCCCTGCCTCATCTGCGCTATTGTCATCTTCAGTTGAGCGAAAATTTGATGCATCCTTCAAGCATAAAATGAGCTTCTATAATGTAGATATCAGTTTTTGAGAGTAATTCAGACAATAAAAAGATTACTTACCAATGGTCCTGGATGCTCAGGTGTGAAGTTGATTGTGTAAGTCGGCCATCCGGCAAGAAGATTATTGATCTCCATTACGACCACATTGTCATGGAAGAAGGAGGTTCTGTTGGCCAAGTCGAGAGGTTCTTCAGTACTGGTAATAATAATAGCCATTAGAATGAAGATTGAGGGATAGAACGATCAAATAATGATAAGATCAAAATGTTAATACACCACTGGAAAATGCCGGCTGACTTTGAATTAAAATCACATGATTTTCTGGACACTTGCACGCAGTGATGATTCTACACCCAAACCTTTCCATGGCATACACTTCCCAGAGCAAGGTGCTGAATATTGTAATTGGTGAGCGCCCTTTTTGGTTTGCTTAACTCCCCTCCCTATGAAGTCCGGTACAGCGCGACCCTGCCCCGAGACTGAGTAGTGGAGCACCACTTCCCCTTCCACCACATCCACAAATTTTGACCTTTTTTTTTTTTTTTGGCTCACTTCCATTCCTCAGGCAATTCTGGACATCTCTCTATCCGAGCACTTCGTCAAGCGCTACGCTTCATCCATGATACCCACTGTCCAACCTCTCCTCCCTCTCCTCCTGCATCATCCACAATACCCGCCGTCCAACCTCTCCTCCACACAACGAACGAACTACTGGTTACCTCTAAGACCACCACCACTGGAATCTTGCATGTTGAGTATCGTGTAGTTCTTCAACTCCTTCTGCGTGCTGTCATTCACTGGGTTAGTGTCAATTCATTTCACAGGTGGCAGTTACTGATGATATCACACACACAGACAGTCTGTTGGCCGTCTTTGCCATTGCTGCTTGTTATCATAGGTCTCACACTTCGCCTTAGTCGAAGCTAATTGTTCCCTCTACCAGGTCGTCCTGTGTCAATCGCTGAGGGCAACTTCAATACGCTTCTTCCAAATTGATTTACCCCGTCCACTCTATGGGAAGGGGCTCCAGCGGGTTCGCCACCAGTGGTTCTCTTTGTCCATATCAAATATTGATCTGCAGTATTATTGTTACATCGAGTGTTGTACGTTAAACATTGTGATAGTCAATTCGCGTCACAACATTTATGCTCTAGATCAGAACAGATATTACAGAATCATCCCAATGGATCTGACACAGCCTCCCTGAAAGCTTTTGATTTCTGCCAAAGTGCCACCACTTATATCAGCACCAGGATAGGTTTGTGTGATTGGGCCAGAGTATCAGTTCCCGTGCTGCTGATGGTTCAAACAACAACCCTGATGCTCCCGACCTCGGCAAAGCTGGTACACCTTATGCACGGTCTGTCCAGCAGTCAAACCCCATTACCGTGCAACCAAATGCCCTGATGCCAGTCTCGTCTTTGACACCCTGCTCCTGCAGAGACAAGGTATGTATGTGCGACAACATTTGCTTCAATCTCTTATGCAACATAATTTATAGTTTATCGAGCATCCCCAGGGCCTGTCCTCCCTCATGTTCTCCTTTGCAGCACTCGTCATCCACAGTGCAACTTTCCACAACACACTCAAGACCATCGGAGATGAGACTCGTGAGTGTATAGTGTGCAGCTCAGTATACTCAAACCATCGACAAAGCTCGCTTGCTTATACGCACACTTGAAGCAGTAGTACAAGCTTTGTACGATGACGCAGCTACACTGCTTCTCACAATGCAGCGAATTCATCATCTTACCTGCAGAGCCTCACGGCAAGATTGTGACTTGCAGTGCGAGTACCTAGACGTGATCTCCGTCTCTCTCAAGTCAAATCTCCAATTCCTCATGCAAACCCTTGATACACTGCTTTCCCTCAGCCACAATCAAGTAGACATGGCACAAGGGGAATATACAGGTGCAATAGAGTGGCGCATGTCACGGTTAAGCATCATTGACAGCAACTTTGACGCCCATCCCATGTTGGTCCTTGACCCCACAGATCCAGAGAGCGAAGACATTGTTGATATTGAAGTTGCTTTGGGTGCGTCTTTATAGAGGTATGTGCACCTGGTCTGGTGTAGCGGATATTGACATGAAAGACTCCAATAACTCGTGCATACCAGTATGGATGGGACTCTTCGTTGTCGCGGGCAAGAACCATGATGTCTGCATGTGTGCAGGGGATTAAGGGAGTCCTGAGCACGCCGCATGTCATACGTAGTGTAGTTGACACAAAGAACTTTGTGACAATAAATCCGGTTGTTGATAATGACAACAGAGTTTCGCTGTGCAGTATTAAATGAAGTTTCATCACCATTGTAGTCCAGCCCTAACAAGCGACCCAGAAGGTGGTCTTTGAGATGCAGAAGAAAATTCTAATGGCATCCAGTGAATAAATATGATTGACATAAATCGTGTATCAGCGACTTTACCTTTGTGGCCTGGTCATTTCTGTTCTTTCCAAGCCAGGAAGAAACATCCCAGAAATGTTTCTGTGACAAGGACATTTGATAATGGATCTCTGGTGAGCAATGTGGCAGTGGGTCCTGGTCGACAAAATGAAGAGATGGGCGGAGATCCTCTGTCTCAGGCTGCACATGATCCTCTCTCACAGCCTCCCTTTCACAGTTCACCTCTCTCATCTTCTGCAAAATGCGCTCACGGCACTGAAGTCTTGGAATTCCGCGCACAAATTTGTTCTTGTTGGTCCGTGCATAAAATCGCTTCACTCTTCAATGCTTGAGTTCGCCCTAACACTACCATTAGTGGATCTTCAATTATTCATGGATTCCGATACTCACCACTTGTGTAGAGTAGTTGTCCGTAGTCCTGTACTGCCAGATCAACTTGACGTAGTCTCCGAGAGCATGGAGTTTGTAAGTTGAGAGGTTGAGGAGCCATTGCTTGGAGGGGCCATCACCTTCAGCATCTGTATTTGTCCCTTCTGACCTTTTGTTCTTGCCTTTAGATGCTTTAAGACACCGGCGCCATGCATGAGCAGCTGTTTCACGTGGTAGATCATGAGTAGCAAACTTTTTTGCATGTATTGTTGCGGAATTGCCGGAGAGCCTTTCCTAACCTGTGTTGTAGGGTTATTGAAATGGTAGAGCGTTGTCTCTGTGTGCATATGAAGCTTCCTGAATGCATGCCAGGTGGCTAGCTCAAACAGAAGGTTGAGGATCGAGTTGTTGAACGGTTCCGGTAGAAGACCATCAAATACTGGCATCGCACACTGCCAGCATTGATCAGTGTAACAGCAGCTGTATTACTTCTATTCCTACCTGAAGCAGGTCTTCGAAATCATGCACTGCAAGCTTCGTAAGACCTGATACATTATCACTGAACTTCCGGATGGTGTCTCATCCAAATGTTGGTATGAGACGATACCTATATTGTGTTGGACACACAAATATATGAGAAAAACCGACTTACCGCTCAGTTGAGATCTTGCACGGCAGTACCTCCATACTGAATACAAAATTCGGAGAAGGTGAGTAAGGGTTGCCTTCCATACTCCTAACTCAAACTCGTGCATAAAGTCAGGCACGAGCATCGAGTGGAAATCAAAACCGAACTTGGCAAGCTTCTTGTTATGACCAGAGTTCACTGAATGGCAAAGTCTGACAACAACCACTAGGACTCGGTCAAGAGTGATGATGAGAACAGGATAGTATTGAGCTGTGAACGTCTAAGTCACTACAACAGTAGGAAACGAAGAGGTTAAGTCTAAGGAGTACTTACGCTAACTAACCTACTTATATACATAACATTGAATAGGAGTCTGAAAGAAATCAGCCAATGAGAAAAGAGTCATACGATACTGCGGATGACTAAGTATGACATCATGATATATATAAGCGAATGAGTAAGACGGTTACTAAATAGAAACCCAAGATCCAACCAGGTTCTTCTTTAGGAAGCGAGATTGTTCTAGCCCGTGGAGTAGGGGAGCCAATCGGAGAAGCAACGGGTGTTATATGACGAGGAGTCACGTGACCGGCTCGGGTACTGGAAGTAGCCGAAGGAAAACCGAGAAATGAAAAATGGTTCGTATTTGGGATTCGTGACATTACCCCCTTTCTAGGATGAGCGTCCTCGCGAATGTAAGATGGTCGTATATTTTTCTGTCTCCATTCGAGGAAATCAGGGGTGGTCAGAATTGAAGCGAGATCCACGCCAATTTAACCGCATTGGGGTTTTCTGCATAAAAATCAGCTACTATGAGCGGCGCGTTCTTCACATCTTCTTCTGACTGCCATGTTGCTTCTGCTTCTGCATATCCTTTCCATTTTACTAAATACTGCAACTTGCGCCTGTATTGGCGGCTTTGCAATATTTGCTCTGCTTCATATTCTGGGACTTGGTCAACAATCTCCGGCGGCGGACGCTTTAGAGGTGGGCGATCAACGAGTTGAGAGGTTTGATGTGGGGTGAGTAACGATACATGGAAAACTGGGTGGACGCGATATTTAACAGGGAGTTTCAACTTGTAGTTTAGCTCGCCAGTCTTCTCTTCGATTTCGAATGGTCCAAGACGGCGGTCGGACAATTTTTGGCTTGGACAGGCGTTGTTTGATGTTTGTTGCGTCTAACCATACCTTGTCGCCTGGTTTGAATTCTGGTGCGTCTTTTACTTTATGGTCATAAAAGCGCTTCATTCGATCATTTCGCTATTTCCAGCATTGCCTTCGTCTCTTCTTGTGCTTCCTTCATCTCAGCTACTCTCTGATCAGCATGGGGAATTGTGTTGGAAGAATTAGGGGCAAATCGTAAACTCGGGATTATAGCCGTAGACACATTTGAATGGGGAATGTCCAGTGACGGTTACTGAGTTGTTATGTGTGAATTCAGCAATTGGAAGCCAAGAAACCCAATCATTCTGACGGTAGGATGTGAAGAGTCGTAGGTACTGTTCAACTTCTTGATTGACTCGTTCTGTTTGTCCGTCAGTCTGTGGGTGATATGCTGTTGACATGGACCACTTGGTTCCTAGTCGTTTTGAGACTTCCTGCATGAACTTGGACACAAACTGTGTTCCCCTATCTGAGATCACCTTCTTCGGTGTCCCATGTAACTTCCATACGTGATTGAGAAATAAGTCCGCGACCCCCTTAGAATCAACATCTTTGGTGGTCAGAGCAAGATGTGCTTGTTACGGGAAAGCCCGGCTTTCCAACAGTGCACTTGATAGGGTCAATCCCATGTCCGCTTCATGGAGCACCAGGACGATGGAAAACTGAATGGAGGCTGTCCATCCAGAATGACTGACTAAAGGTTCAAAGAAGAAGCTAGAGTCGTATATCACAAGTGAAGATCAAGTTAGAGAAATACATGGTCTAACTACTGGGGTATATATAGGTATCGTCCTATGGGTTCAGGGTAGGCTTGGGTAGCCAGAAAGTATCCCAACTAGGTAATCGTCTATGTGAGTCATAAGGACTCAGAGATAAGAGTACCGGTTCAATGGTAAGGGTCCAGGGTATGGTACCGGCACAGCGGTAGGTGTCCAGGTCAGATAACACTATCTGTCATGATAAGCGATAGGATAAACGATAGTCAGTACCGGTGTATCGGTAGGGGTGATAAGGGAGAAGCGCGCGGCTTCTATTGATCCCGGTCTAGGTCGGTTCCAGAGCTGTCCTGCTCCAACAGCTGTCATGCTGTGCTCTGCAGTTTAGTCACATGCCGGTGATGTCATCTGTTACGTGTTGTGACGCGGTTGTGACGGCGATGTTTGGTGGAGATGATAGGGGTCTGAGGGTCCCTGTAACAGCGCTTGCTTCGTGAAACGATCAACGACTACCAAAATACTGTCTTTGCCCTGGGAGATGGGTAGATCGGTGATGAGGTCACAGCTAATGGTTTGCCATGGCCCTTCTGGAACCTCGTTTGGCTTCAAAGGTCCGTGGGGTTTTGACAGTAGCACCTTCGTTTGCTTGCATCGATCACATCCATCTACGTAGTCATTGACCCACTTTTGCATCTGGGGCCACCAATAGTTCCGCGAGACAAGTTCAAGAGTCTTGGCACGTCCCATGTGTCCTGCTGCGGGCAAGTCATGGAAGATCTCTAGCACTGAGCGACGTATTTCTTTGTTATTGGGCACGTAAACCAATCCTTGGAACAAAATGAGTCCATCCTCTGTATTCCACTCTTCCAATCCTCTTCTCAACTGTACGGGGGCCTTCTTCAGAGTTTCGATAGCATTTCGGACTTCTGGATCTAAATTGGTACAGTTTCTGATATGCTTCAACAGCGAATGCTCTCCTTCTATCAGAATCTGACCTCTTTTTGTGGCTTTGATATGAAAAAACTCGGGTTTCAGAAGCATGCGATCAGAATTGTCGTTTTCTACCCCCCCTCTGTGGTCTGGCCTCCTGGACAGAGTGTTGGCAGTGTCATTAACCTTTCCTGGTTTGTGTTGCAGAGTGAAGTTGTACTCTGCAAGGAACAAGGACCATCTTGCCTGTCTATGAGTTAACTTCTGGCTTGTCATGAAGTACTCGAGGTTTTTATGGTCTGTCCAGATTTCTACTGGATGAGGTGTGCCCTGCACATAATGCCTCCACTCCTCCAATGCACGTTGTGGGGAACGTCCCCACTGTAGGCCCGTATCCCGCATATTTCCCATGCCTTCCCACCATTTTCCCGCCCATTCCGCTACCCATCCGCATCTTCCCTGACCTGTCCGCTACACGGAACCAAGCGGAACCCAGCGGAACAATCGCGTACCACACGCATTATATTCCTTCAGCCTTCGGAACATCCTCCTCCATCCTGTCCATATCCTTCCATCCTCGCTGGTGAGTACTAGCTACGTTCCCCATGTCACTAACATGCTCCTATCTCATTTCCCATGTGTTACGGTACTTATACGGATCCTTCCGCTACTCGGGACCGATTCCTTATCTCACAGCCTCACCCGGTTGTAGCATATCGCATTTTGGAACCCCTTCCTATATAGGTAGCAATAGATGGGATCTTAGTTTTTGACCTTCTGATAGACTCGACTCCACTTCCACTTACAGAGTACTTCCCAGTACTCCACTCACTGT